TTAGTGATGGTGTTACTATTTTTAGCGATAGTGTTCTAGGCTTAATAAAATGTTTCAGGTTTCTGACTCACGGCAGCATCAGTGCTGTCACCATTAGCAACAAGACAGCACAGGGACGTGAGTGAAACTGTGGGCAAATACAGTGTGCAGAAATAAAAGCTACTAAGCAACATGAAAACATGAGTGAGCAAGAGCAACATGACATCAAAGACATAACAACTGAACTGAGAAGGTAAGGAAGATGCTGGGCTTAAAATAAGCATCACGTTATAGTTTCTTGACACTTGATTTGTCTGCAGAACTCTGAGAGGAGTTTGATCATTCGTGGGCCTTGCTCGCCAAAAGCTCCTTGGGGAAGATACAGAGCTGCTCTCGAGGCGTTCTTCACAATGAATGATTGACAGAACAGCGCTTAGATGTAGAAAAAGAACAAAAAAGTGCCGCATGAATGGGTGAATGAGACATGCTGTATGAAGTGTTTTGAGTGATCGAGTAGAGAGTAAAAGTCGATTTGCAACTGGTAAGTCAGATAAAGTACCCATGAACCATTTTACATTTTCACCACTTCATGTATCCACCAATCATGGTAGCTTCATCATTCTCTGCTGCACACACACACACACACACTTCGTCCCTGTCGTCACCCACAGCAGACGAGATAAGAGCAGAGTTTACCCTGATAAAGCTAAATTATGATTCCATGTGCTCACCTATTTTTGCACCTTCAGATTTGTTACTTTGATTAAAACAAAACAACAACATTATGGTCTAATTTGTCCACGCTGCATTATCAAATCATTTTGCACATTTAAAGCACTTTGCCACTGACATTGCCGTTGTGTACCTTAGCGGCAGGTGCTGCTGTATCTTGGTGATGAGCCCCATGCTGGGATCCGACTGCATGTACATGGTGGCCAGGATTCCTATGGCAACGAAGAGCCAGGATGACGGGCTGGCGGGGTACACGCCTTTAATCAGACTGTTCTGTTAGCAGAGAAAAAGAAACAGGCATTGGGATTATTCAGCGGCTCTGAAACGAAGAACAGGTCAGACCTTCAGAGGTGAAAAACCATCTTCCATTAGCAGCTTTAATAAGGAACACATTACAGATGTGCACAGCTGTTTCACAGCTGTGTCGTTTCAGATCAATTTTATAAACTTTGCTCTAAAGCCAAACATGACACTGATGTATTTCATGACTGGGAAACATTTATGGGTTTCAACTGTGTTTCATACGCTCACCAAGAAACACTGAAGGTTACAAAGATTGTTACTGAACATAATGACTTCCCACAAATGGTGATGCAAACATTAACAGCTGTCACCCAGAAGGGCAAACATGCATATCAGTACATGTTATCAAAGACTCATCATACCAGGGTTACCCAGGTAGACCGCGTAATACTGCCATGTGCAGTCAGCCCCATCCTGGACACGAATGACCCGCCTACATAGGAGCCCCGCCTACTTCTCACAAAGGTAACAACAAGTAGAGAGCGCTGATTTAGCGGAAACACTGAAATTTAGTCAACGTTCAACTGCATACAGATTTCTGATGTGTGGCAGTATAAAACCACCTGACCACACGTGAATGTGAAATAAAAAATAAAAAAGATAATCCTCTTGCAGCTGAAATGTTAACAAATTTTATATTTTAAAAAAAAGTAACAATGAAGGCATTCCCTTCCTGATTAATGGTATTCCAAGTATACCACGATAACTGTCAGTGAAAATTAATAATTTTGAAAAACAGACATCATGACAAGACAATTAACAACCTGTTTGTTTGCATCACTGATGAAGCTCGACACACAGGCCTTCTCTGGATTTTGGTTGCTGAACAAAAGCTAAAAACCGAATCAGTCGATATCGTTACAGCGGTGGTGCTGCCAGCAGGGAAGCTGCAAACTCT